CTCTCTAGCGCGGCAGGGATGGACGTCCCCTTGCTGCGCACCTTCCTTGAGATATTAATAGGTATATATAAAAATTATATTATTTTGTTTATACTCTCTCTTTTAACAAGCCTAAAAATTATAAAATTATATACTACTACAAATATTTTGTTGTGACATGTTATGTCGGGGGGGGGGGTGTTATGGCCCCCTAGCTCCGCCACTTGTCACCTCGGCGCTGAGCCATGTAACAAAGGAAAGTTGAAGATAGTACAAAACAATACAATGATTTGATGATAGTACAGTACATGGATAATAAGCAATGTAACGAAGAAAGTCGAAATACAACTAAAATTGCAAGACAAGATCCAACGTAATGGTCATGCTCAGGAGATAATCTCTTGTATTTCTCCACCTCTTCCATCACCACCTCCAGGATATGGCCAACCCAATCTAATTCATTGATCTTTGATACATCACGTAGACTATGAAAGATACTTCAAGGTCACTGCATTTGTTGTGCTCGTACAATAAACAGACCCCAAAGCTAGAAGCAAGAAAGCCTTCATGAATCAATCCCTATCCGAACTCGTCTTGAGCACCTCTATGCACGGTTTCATCTTAGCCCTATCACCATCCCTATATTCAACATAGGTTTTGTCGTACACTCAATGTGGGCCCCTGACTATGGACCAAGCTGACCAAGCGAGGCACAACGCAGAGCCACGCGTGGGCCTACGGCGCCTCCTGCACACAGCCCGAGGAGGGCGCGGCGCCACTGGGAGGGGCGCGGCCATGGAGGGCTACCACCGCCTGAGCAGGGCTCCGCTAATCCATGGGAGTAAGAATAGAATAGAAAAAGTAGTAAGGGTGTGCCCAGTAAGATTAGATTATGGTTTGTTACGGAAGAGACCCAAATCTATAAAGGTTCTTTTAGAAAAAGTAGGATTGCTTAAGAACCAAGTCTCAAGGACTATAAATAGGAGGGGCCTGTAACCATTAATCTCAAGGAAGCAAGTAATCTAATACCACTTCTCCTTCCTCGCACCTCCTCTCTCTCGACCACGCCACCCGCCCGCCGTCGTCCCCCCGCCCCGCCCCGCCCATAGTGGGCACCATCACGCCCCCCTCTGCCCACGATGTAGCACGTATCGAAGAAGCCGGAGGGGCCGCCGATGGAGACCTGGCCGAGATCGGCTGCCGCGGTGCGGAAAGCGTCACGGATTGCGATGTACACTAGGAGGGCAAGCCGCGTCATGGTGGTGCCAGAGTCCAGGATGACGCCACGGCGACCCGTGTATGTGTCTAGTGGGAGGTCGCGCTCAGTCACACCCGGCACGCGCGTGCCACCCACGCTGACACCGATAAGCCGCACATAGTAGAATGTGCCCAAGTTCGGGTTCCATACCATGGGGTGAAGGATGCTTGCGGGAGGTCTCCACTGGCGCCGACAATGAAGGTGAGGTGGAGGAGGAGCTGGGGCTTGACAAGAAGTCAAGGAGACAGATGAGGAGAAGCTCGTGGCGTTGTAGCCGAGAGCAGCAATCTGGCTCAGGCATGATATTTGGCCACGGCCGAGGCCCAGGATCCCCGCGCCCGGCGCCCCGAACATGCCCTTGTTGTCATCGCCACAGCCGAACGACAGGTGCGGAACCTGGACGCCGCCCGCGAAGGTCATCATCTCCTTGATGAAGTCTCCCACGGTCGAGAGGCGTCCCGCAGCCCACGGCGTGAGACGCACGTCATGCGCTTCACGTCGCCGCCGCCGTATCATCCCAGCGCTTGGCAATCTGGTGCGTCATACCCCATTTCGCAGTATGACGTCGAGTGCCGCGGGTTGAACATGGGGCCAGACTGCGGGTATCACCGCCGGCATGGCTGGCACGGCAGCCACGTGACGTGGTTGCCCGTGTCTAGCGCCAGCAGCGCCTCAACGTCCGGCGTGCCCACCGTGTTCTTGGCGATGTATGTTGGTTCGCCAAGGAACCACTCAAACACACACACGCCAATGCTCTTGGTGAGAGGTAGAAGAAGCACCCGTAGAGGATGAGCTATTTTTTTATAGATATGAGGAGTTTTTACATGTAGAGTAGAAGCTACTTTTGATCCTTCTGCTCTGGCTCCAACAATGGTTCCTGTGGAGGAGCTGTTGGAGTAGGAGCCATGCCAAACATGCACTTAGTTTTGTTCAAAGTCAGACTTGCTTATCTTTACTAACCACATTTGTAGATAACAATACAAATAAACATTTACAAAATTAAATATATTAATTAGATAAGCCAAGAAAAAAAAATTGGTAGTGCATTTAATGGTATTGTACGTGTTAATATGTTTTATATAAACTTAGTCAAAAGTTGAGAAGTTTGATTGGCAGCAAAATAACCCTATATTGTATAAATTATAAAAGGTCAGTGACGAGTCGCTTGCTTCGATCAGAAGTGACCTTGAATTTTGCCAAGGCCGCAGGGGTTGGTGGTTATAAATGAGAAGGGAAAAGGAGCTAGCGAAAAGGTTGCTTTGATGGGTAGATTAAGAGCATCTCAAAAAATCTTTCTAAAACTTATTCTCTAAACCACCATAAAAAAATCATTTGAAAAAAAATCGTTTTCCACACTTGAGGGAGCTAAACTCGTTGTCCATCCTATATTTGGATATTCAATGAGAGAGAAATAGTTTTTTAAATAATATTTTTTAATGAATAATTGCAAATCTAGAACCTCTTATATAAAAATTTTGAGATATGGTACCCCGCCGGGCTCCCAGACTGGGGAAATGTCGCAGCTTTAGGATGAGGATCGGTCCGTAGAATGACGTACTTGACGTCAACCACGTGGTACAGTATACGACCATGGACTACGATCGCCACCTGCTGGCCTGCCTATTCAGGGACGTTAGAGAGCACTGCTGTGGTTCCATTTGGCATTTGTGTAATTATTTATTTGGAATTATATATTAATTTTGTATCCATCGTACTAAATACATGTACTGTCACTACTTCATGCAATGACAATTTAAATGGGGAAAGCTAAAGAATAATTGATTTATTTGGAGAGGACAAACCCTTTATTTTTCTCTGAACAAGAGAGACGGCGCCGACTTCGATGGACTAGTGGGCAACAACAAACTGACCCCTGCAGATCATAGCTTGGTGGGAGATTAATGAGGCAGCGTCTCCGGCGCGAGTGACGCCATGGTTAGCATGCAGCAAGCAGATACAGCACAGGCGGCTGTAGCTACAACAAAAGATTAGAGATAGACTACATATACACTAGGCGGCTGTAGCTACAACAAAATATTATTAACGATATATAAATCTAAAGTTAACTAATTTTAACGTGGATAATAATGTTAACTAGTATTTTATTTTATTTACATACTTCTAGATTTATTTTTATTTATTTGAATTTAGTAATTAGTATATACTATCTATTATTTTCTTATATTTTATATATTTAATTATTGTAATATTGATGGAAATATTTTATTGTTTGGCAGTTATCTTTATCCACAATGTTATATAGCTAGAAATTAAATTCCATCATTCGTAATAATTTTATTATACATAAAACTATTGATAAGCAAATAGATATACATGTTATCTTCAAAATCAAGTGGATATCCGAATGTAATTCGAGATATCCATTTGGCTTTAGTATCCGACGATATATGTATTCGAATTTAAATTAAAATACGGTAAATAGTGGTATCTAAATCTATATCCGTCCGAATTCGATCCGTATCCATCCCTATCTACGGGTGCTTCCAATTTGTAGGTTATAACATGTTTCAACGGAGTTGCACGAGAAAATATATCATCGACCCGAAGATGAGCAATTTTTTCGTGTAGATACGAGGAGTTAGAGCTATTTTTGTATATGGAGTACAAGCTACTTTTGAGCCTTCTGCTATGGCTCTGGCTCCGGCTTGGACTCAAGTGGTGAAGCCGCTGGAGTAGGAACATGCCAAACGCACACTAAGGGCCTGTTTGGAGGGCCCGGTTTCGGCGGTTCCGGCTCTGGATAATGTGGAGGAGGTGCCGGAGCACCAAATCCGTGGCTCCTGCGACTCCTCCTCATTCTCAGTGTAAATCTGCCGGAGCCAGAGGTGCTGCACAGGCTGCTACAGGACCGCACAGTGATGCATAGGATACAGGTAGGCAGAGCCGGAGCCATGCGAAGCCGAACTAAACGAGTCCTAAGTTTTGTTCAAAGTCAAACTTAGGTAGCTTTATTAACTAGATTTAATTATAGATAAAGATACAAACATCTACTACATTCAATAGGTTCATTAGATACGGCAAAAAAATATTTGGGTTGTGCATTTAAAGATATTGTACATGTTAATATGTTTTTGTATAAACATAGTCAAAAGTTGAGAAGTTTGACTGGGAACAAAATAATATTATATTGCTAATAGAATAATACAAGCCGGTGTTGTTTCTTTATGAAAGAACCCGATAGCGTCATGTAAACACCTAATCTGAACGCTTATATATAAAACAACTCATCGTGTGCATTCTCAAAATCTATAGTTTACAAGATTAAAAATATGATATCAAAATTTAGATTAGTGACATCATAAGATATGAGCTGCAACCACAGCTACCATAGTTTAAGCTATGATGTTAACGAAATGCATATTGAATATGCACAGGGTTGCCATGCAAATCCCCTCAGGAAAAAGCGTTGCCATGCAAAGGGAAAAAACCGGATGGAGATAAAAAGATATGTATAAGTAATTGACAAATCTATCACAATTATATCTTATATAAGATTCTAACTTATGCATGAACACAGGTTGATGGACTATCTAGTGCACCTAATTATTATTATTACGCATTATAAATATTATTATTTTTCATATGTTTAATTAGTCAAACTTGAAATGAATTAACTTATGTAAATCAAGAATGAATCTGACTCATTGAAAAATGAAAATGATATTCCTTTTGAGACGAACTGACAGAGGTGTAAATATATGAGTACTCAATTATGCGATCAATCGACCCTGCAATTCCTCTCTCAGCAGCTATTTGGCGCGAACCCAACACGCTGGCCGTCGACGTCGTGCACGACACGGAACCCCTGCAGCTGGATGTTGCCGAAGATGGAGACACCACGGTCACCGCTGCCGGCAAACGCGAAGCACATGGTGCCCTTGGAGTACACGGGGATGAGGTAGTTCTGGGGAGGTAGCTTCACCTCGATGCTGCCGGCGAAGTGCATCGACACAGCAGGCACCTTCAGGAGTCTGTGCAAGCTATAGCAGGTGTCGAAGAAGCCAAAGGGGCCGCCCGGGGAGGGACAGCCGAGGTTCGTCACTGCCGCCGCTCAAAAGGCGTCGCGGAATGCGGTGTACGCGGGGCCAGCGAGGTGGGTCACGGCAGTGCCGGAGTCCACGATGATGCCACCGTGGCCCATGGACGAGTCAAGGCTGTTGGGGAACTGTACCTAACAGAACGAAATATGGGGCGGAGGCCTCCGGCACAGGCCGAAGGCTAAGCCCCGCGGAGAACAGAGGTGAACACACACAGTGAGGCCCACCAAATCTAGGGTTTCATAAATGAGGTTCAACTAACTCTTACATGGGGTTCACCCTCCCCTTTTATAGGTCACTGTACAAGAGGAAACTCTTTTACAAAAATACCCTCTACCACATACTTGGGATATTCCTACACTCAAGCTAGACTTCAGGGGGCAACTTGGGGCTTCTCTTTTACCAACAGCCTTGCTGCATGGGCCTTAGCCGACGCCCATGGGAGGCTCATCAACTGGCGGAGGCTCCTGCCGACCTTTCTAGTCTTCCCTGTTATCGGCCTCCGCTGACTTGATCCTGGTCCCCGCGCTCTGCACCCTGCCAGGCCTCCGCTGCCCCGGACGCCTTCGCCACGACTGTTGCGCCAGGCCTTCGCCGTCCTGGGGGCCGCCTTCGCCACGACTCTTGCGCCAGGCCTTTGTCAACCAAGGGCGGCGCTAGCGGAGGTCCCCTGCATGGTCCTTGAAAATTGCTTGCCATATGATCCACATCGTTAGCTTTTATTTGCTAGAGTAATGCTAAGCCTTCGCGGCCCATATATCCATGTCCCAACAAAGGCGGAGGTCAGATTCGGTGACGCCCGGCACACGCACGCCGCCCACGCTGATGCCGATGAGACGCACGCAGTAGAATGTGTACATGTGCGGTTTGGTGGTCAACATGGGAGTGAAGGATGCCGGCGGGGTGTTGACCGTGGCGCCCGAGCCGAAGTTTAGGGTTGAGGAGCAGCTGGGACCCTAGGCCGGCCAGGCAGTAGGAGAAGCTCCGGCCGTAGTGCGGCCGGCGATCTTGCTCGGGAACCACAAGCTCCCTCTGCCGAGGCCCAGGATCCCCTCCGCTAGCACTGGGAACAGACCCTGGTTGTCGGAGCCGCACGTGAACGCCACGTCCGCTACGCGGACGCCCAGCGCGAAGGTCAGCGTCTCGACGCCAAAATCGCCTGCGGTGGAAGAGCCGTCGCCGTACTCGACCTTGTACTGGCACGAGTTGTGGAACTGGATGCAACCGCCAGAGCTCCCCAGTGCACGGCAGGCCGGCGCGTAGCAGCCGACGTCACTCACCGAGCTTGAGGTAAAATTTGCGGCCATTTTGTCTGTCCATCGTCAACTAACTAACTTTATGAATGCGTAAATTATCTCTCTTCACATCTATCTATATCTCCCATGTTATATTTATAAACGACATATGTATGACATCTTGAAATAATCAGAATATAACTAGGAATCCTAATTCAAATACAAGACGTACCGATCGGATTTCTTTTGTGTTTATTTTGAAAACGCCCCACGTGTCGTATACGAACCGAACTCGCTCACGTCACGTCACAACCTCTCGCTTGTCAATGAGATACATGCAACTAAGATTTGTTAATTATTTCCTTTTGGCAACATGTGTGCATGAGCGCGACGTAAGGGCAAGCAAAAGAGGCAAATCTGGGCACACGTAGTTTTATCAAAGTACGTGACTTTGGTTCTACCTCGGAGATCGATAGGTACGGCACGGAAGCAAAGAAACTCTATTTGGTCTTCTGTGCTCTGAACTCCTCGCCCCTCCCGCAGCTTCTTATCGGCCTGCATCCCGTTCGTCCTCGTGACCATGAGACCGTGGAGCTCCGCCACCGCCTCCAGTGCGCGCCCATCCATGTGCCTCGTGGCCACTTGGTCGCCACGGTCGCATCTGCCACCATGTCGACCTCCCACCACAACACGTCCGCGCAATCCCTCGGCTACTGGATTTGCTGAATGGGCTTCTTCTCGCGCTCCGATGATGCCGCCGCCTGGCCTCGCGTCAGCAGCGGCGATGGCCCGCCGCCTGAGGCGCTTGGCGGCTTCAGGTCCAGTGCTGGCGTGGTCGACGGCCAACTCGATGTGCAGAACATCGTGCTTGGTCAAGTCGGATCGGAGCTGCAGCTCACATATGAAGTTGGACGCTCCTCGCGCAGTCATGCTTGCTGCCGTACTGGTTTGGTTTATGGAAACATATGTGGACTAAAAGCCCAAAACTAAAGCCCGTAAACACTCAAAGTGCCACGGCCCACGGCCCGTAAGACAATTTTCTTTTATTTTTCTGTATTTCCTTCTACCACCGTGGCACTGTACCAAAGATTTTACTGTCCACTACCCCAGATCAGGACAATACTGCCGGTTCAAAACACCCCATCACTATCGGATTTTGAACTGGCACAACCAAACCGACAGTGATGATGAGGGTTAGCTATCACTGTCAGTTCCTACAAACCGGCAATGTTCTGCAACATCACAGCCGGTCCTTTACACAATCCGGCAGAGTTCAGTTCCACCAACACTGCCGGTTCATGAGACCACCCGGCAGTGTAACCTGGAACATCACTGTTGGTTTGTGTCTTTAGCTAGCAGCGTTGCCGTAACCAGCACTGCCGGTTTGGGACAAGACCCACCCGCCAGTGATGTCTAAGACAACGCTGCTGGTTTGTGGCTCAAGCCGGCAGTGCCATCTTGGCCATCACTGCTGCCGGTTTGTTGCTAACCGGCAGTGATGGCCCGTTCGCATTTTATTGTTTTATAATTTATTTTAATTTATATTTTTTTCGTGAAATCAGGTTTCGCTTTATATACACTACGTAGACGATAGGTCCATCAATATTAAGCTTTGGGCCATACTGGTCCTTAAACTTCGCGGATTGTGCAATGGAAAATACTCCATCTTTTTCCAATACCTCGGCCACGATGAATTTTGCCAGCGACGATTGCAGTGCGACGATCTCCATGTCTAACAGTCTTTCGTTGTTATATTTCTTGCCCCGTCGTTCAAAAAAGATGATATCCAAAGATGAATCAGTAAATCATTTTGTTGAATTCTTAACAGACATAAATGAAATGGGGATTATACACTCCAACTTATCTGCTTCTTCCGATTTCCTGCCGATGTAGCGAAGCATTGCCCAAGTACTTCTCCTCCATTTCAACAACCTTGAATGGAACATCGTCCCACCGATGTCATCTTTGGACATTGTGCAACATTAAAAGGAGAAACATTAGAAAGCGCATGCGTGTGATTAGAAAATAATATATTATTAGGACCGCTTACTAATTCAAAGACTACCACGGTGCATCCAGATGATGAAATGGTTTTTTCTTTGAGTCCCCAGACCTCGATAAGATTTTTAGCAAGCAAGATTGATGAAATGAAGGCGAAATGGTTGCTACAATCATAGAATCCTCATTATCAAATAATCTTAACGAAAAAAAAAAGCATAAAATTAAAAGGCGAGAACACATACTTGCGGTTGTAGGCTAGAAGTATGTGGGTTTTGTTCTTCATCTTGAATTCATCAAAACAGCAATCAATCTCTCTTTCAGGTCTTCCACGTCACATCCATGGAGGCCTAAACATGTCTTCTCATTGACTCGCCCGGGGTCCAAGAAGCCTATGTTATCCCATTTGCTTTTTAGTATGAAAAATTTTGCTATACACCTACATAAAATCATGGGAAGTGCTCAAAAGTTAACAATTTGTGTGTCAAGAGAGTAATTAATTGTAATATCGTGCGTGTAGGGTACTTACATAGTCCACAGCGTCAACATTTGTGAATCGAGAGGGCATTTCTGGTATTGCTAGAACAAGCACTCCCACTCGACATCGAACTTCTCTTCTTCAGGATAATGAAAAACATGTGGCGAACGGATAATAACCTCAAAACCAAAGTCCTCCGTCTCTGTTGCTTGAGCCATGTAATATTAATGCAAATGGCGCATATATGTTGTCAAATTTTTATACTCGTCATCAAGAACCAAATGATTGTCCCTTTCATACTTCATTGCCGCTGTTTTCGTCCCTTGTACATCATAATAGATGTTCGCGGCCTCTTTCATGGTTAATTCGGGGTTGTCTTCGACGTACTTCTGTATCTTCCTTAAGTCTTCATTGTGTATTTCTTGAGCTCTTATTGTAGCAAACTTATTCTATGTTTGCCTTTCGAATTCGGACTTCAACAAATACTGAGGCAGTGAGGCACAGAGATTGAAGAAACTAACACAATCTTCCTTCGAGATGTGTGCTATAAATTTTTCTTTCATCAAGTTTGTAACACCGCCCTTCGAGCGGCCTTTTTTTTTTTTGTTGGTCCACATTGAGAGCATTAGCGACCGAATCCAAGGACCTTTTCACGATTTGCGAGGATGCCTTTGATCTTGTTTTGGGCTGAGGTGGAGGAGGAGGAGGATGACGACGAGAATTCTGTTTTCCCGGGGCTGATGAAGATGAAGGAGGAGGAGGAGGAGTCTTCTCTTTTCTCGGGGTTGATGAATATGGAGTCGGACGAGGAGGAATGGAAGGAGGCCTTTGTCTTCTCGGGGATGATGCAAGGGATGAGGAGGGGAGTGATCTCTGTTGGAAGATGGTGAGTGATCATCCACTACAAGAAATCTCCTTATACATGACAATTTGTAGATGACGTTTTTCAAAACGCCGTGGATCAGTGATGGGTTTATTTGGACTCCAACAGCTGGCCCATTTACAATCATCAGTATATAAGAACAAACTTAGGTTCTCGATCGAGCATCACCCACCACCTGCCATCTCTTCTCTCGTTTCTCTCTTAAAATAGATCGGGCTCCCCACGGATCGAGATCCTCTAACTTGGGCTCTTTCTACTGCAGAGGGACGTGGGACCTCCGATGCCATCCATTCCACATCCTGCGGCATGGAGAAA